CAGGATTTCTGGTTGGGAAGGCTAAAGGCTTGAGATTTGGGACATCAGGCGCCATGAGGTTGTTTGGAATTCTGGGTTTTCATAGTAATACACTTGACACACATACTCATTGATAACAATCTCATATATATATATACGCTTACACACACACACACATATATATATATATATACATACTAATATATATATATATATATATATATACATATATATATACATAGTAACAACAGCAATATAGAAATGAGAGCAATAACAATAATAGCAATGACAATAATGAGAACCATAATGACAATAACAATGTTAATCACAAGGAAATAGCCATGAGCATAATAATAGTAAGAAGGACAACAATGAGAATAACGTCCAAAGTACTAGTAACAATCATAGAATCACAATAGGAATCACAAGAATAAGGAGCATTAGTATCATTCGGATTTTTTGTTGTCATTCTTATTCTTATGTTAAAGGTAGTATAATACACAGGGTTTCTGAATCTCGAAGGTCAAGGGTTCAAGGGGGCTTTTGCCCCACGAACGGTCCAACGAAGCCGGCTGAGCAAGACTACCTTGGCAATGAAACCTTCGGGCGTGAACCGTAAACCCTAAACCCTAAACCCTAAACCCCTAAATGTAGGCTCTTTTTGGGGTTGAGACATCGGGTTTAGGGATTTTGAGGTGCAAGATGAACTGGACACACAGATCATTTGGGCTTTCGTGTGCCTGCATCAGTCAGCAGAAGCGTACCCTCCCAGAAATGTTCAGGCTTCAATCATCAAAAGGGATTCGAGAAGCCGTAAGGCTTGCAAGAAAAAAACAAACAACCCCAGGTAAGGACGAACAGTACATGAAAGGAGACTGTCGGAAGGTTCAGGGGCAGGTCTTGGCATGGCTACAGGGAAATTAGCCGTGATTACAAGATGACCGACAGTTGTCGTACGAAAAGCCCTGCTCCTAAAAAGGTACATGAAAGGCTAGCTTGAAAGGGTTGCTCTGCAGCCCTATGCCCTGATCTCTCATCTAAACCCCCTAAAGCCCTGAACCGCTTGTATTGGAGGATCGCAGCTATCAAGCTGCTTGACCCGAAAAGGGAGCTACAATCACTGGAGCCATTCTAGGGTTTAGGGTTTCAGGTTTAGGGCTTTAGGGTTTTAGGGTTTTAGGGCTCCTAAACGCTGCCTGGAAGCCCCCTCTCCCCCCCCCCCCGGCGGGGCATGAAACCCGACGTCTAGCAACCCTCGATCCAAAGCGCTAAGCCCCCCCTAAACCCTAAACCCCTAAACCCTAAACCCTGAACCCTAAACCCTAAACCCTGAACCTTAAACCCTAAACAAGAAGCCCCAAGTCCTAAACAAGAAGCCCCAAGTCCTAAACACTGCATCTAATGCAGCGGCCTGAATAATTAGAATAGGGTCTTGGGGTGTATCATACTACGACTAGAATAAGGACCCCCCCTCCAAACAAAAAAAACACAAGAAAACAAGAGTGTAGGTAAGCATTAAGGCCCCTGAAGTACATCAAGGCCCAAGTCTTGAAAAGTTTCAGTAAGCTCCCAACGCTCTATAGACCCAAAGGCGAAATACTAAATCCTAAGTCCTAAACCCTAAGTCCCAAAGCCTAAACTCTACTTATACTAAAATCCTAAAACCTAAGCTCGAAATCCTAAACCGTACAAGTCCTAAATCCTAAACTCTAGATCCTAAACCCTATAAGTCCAAAAAGACCCTAAACCCCAATCAACACACGGAAGCCCTGGGCCAAGGTAGCTGCGCAACCTCCACTCCGAATTGCTGAGAGCCATGCAAGGCACCTCCGACGTTTGAAAGCTCGAAAGCTCCAGGCTGGGGGGGGGTTTTACCCATAGGCTCCTTAGTAGTTCCATTTTGGGATTACCTTATAGGATTCTAAATATGAACCACAAAAAGGAACTACTTAGGAGCCTCTGGGTATAGTATAGGGTTTGTAAGGCTTGGGGTTCAGGGTTTTTTGAAGCCTAAGCCCTAAACCCAAACCCTAAACCCTGGAAAGTGACGCTTCGATAGTGATGAAACGCTACAGACGCAAGCGTGCACTCATGGGTTTAGGGGTTCTGAATGGAGAAAAAGAAGGGTTCTGAAGGGTTCCAGGATTTAGGACTTTAAGGGTTTAGGGTTCAGGGTTTCGCCTGGGTAGTTCCTGGAAGAGGACTTAGGGTTAGGTTCTTGCTATGAGCGTTTATACGGCTCGCCTAAACCTTGAACCCTCATAGGGGCTTGGGAGTGAGGGCAGAGGGCTTGCAGGGAAGTAGCACTTCGGATTTGGCATTCAAGGCTATTGAGAAAGATCCAGGCTGATTTAGGGTTTAGGGTTCAGGGTTTATAGGGTCTATAGGGGTTTAGGCGGTTTAGGGTTCAGGGTTTATAGGGGTTTAGGCGGTTTAGGGTTTATAATAGGGTCTATAGGGGTTTAGGGTTTAGGGTTTATTGGTTTAGGGTTCTCTCGGATTCAGGGTTTGCAGCTTAGAGCTCGGGGGCGTAGGGTTCCAACAGGCTCAAACCCTGGAGTCGGACAACTCCTCTGGGAGATGGGAGCGTGTGGGGTAAGGGTCTAAGTATAGATGTGGCTCTTCTAAACCCTAAACCCACAAACCCTACACCCTAAACCCTCAGGCTTAGAGCTATCATTCCTGAAGTGAACTCACACATAGAGTGTAGGGGAGGGCTCCTGGTGAGAACAAAGAGCGGGAGCTGCAGAATCCGATTCGAATCCCTGAGGGCCCTCTCATCCCTAACCCCCCATAAGCACGGCAAGATCAATGCTAAGTTCGGGTTCCGGTGGATTTCCTAATATAGGGGCCTGAATCATTAGAATAGGGTCTTGGGGTAAACTATACTATAACTATAGTAAGGAGCCCCCAAAATAGCATAGGTAATTATTTAGGTCCCTGTATTGCACTAGTCTGAAGAAAATCGCTGCATCACGGGCCTTTCAACCTCCCGATCTCCAGCTACGATGGGGGCCTGCTGAATTAGAATGAACTTAGGGTATGCGCATCTTCAGGAACCCTAATGAATGGCACTGGCAATCACGCAAGCTATTGCAGTACAAAGAGCCACAAAAGCTCGAAGCCTAAACCCCTGCACCAAGATGACCAAACAACAAGGGGCGGATATGGGGTATAACCCTAAACCCTAAACCCTAACTACAAGGGTTATGGGGTTCTGAGGCCCTTCGGATTTAGGGTAGATTCCCTTAGATGGACGCTCCTAGAAACACTGAAACCCTGAATGCACCAAGATGATCGCAGAATGGAAGCCAGAACCGCCCACCCTTTGCTCCGGAACCCCGAGGTTCAGAGAGGTTTAGGGTTTAGGGTCCCAGAACATGGAATGCAACGCTTTAACTGAACCCTCGTCAACTTGCATGTGCATCCTGAATCGTACGCCGCTGCAAATCCTAATCCTACAGGCCCTACAAAGATAAACCCGAAAACCCTAGGGGCCTACAGACTAACATCGCCCAGCCTGAATCCTGCACGATAACCCTCAGGCCTTCTAGCGTTTTAGGGTTTAGGATGTAGGGTTTCGGTTTAGGAATGTTTGGGACTAAAGCAAGAACAAGATCATGTTGCCCAAAGCCAAAGGCAGCCTCTTAAGCCTTCGCACCGGAGGAGGTATTCTGCAACACCACCTGTCGGGCTCATGTCTTAAAGGAGTAAGATTGTGTCGGACGCTTGTCAGCTACTTCTATGATTTGTGGGAAATAAGATAATCCCGAGTACAAAAGCGAGAACAATCCAAAACTAATGTAACGGAGACAACAAATCAGCACCGACAAGTCCAAACAAGAAGGAAAAATAATGGAACGGAAAGAGCAAACACAAAGGAAAATAAAAGGAATACCATTGTTGGCTCCTGTTTGGTTCCTGTTTGTTCACTTTGGTGTTTCTTTTTTGTTGACTTGTTGTCCCATTGTTTTACTTGGCTTCGTGTTTGTTGTTCGCTTGGTTGTTTTTTTTTGTTGTTTTTTGTTGTTTCCCCCCCGCCCAACTGCTTTTTTCCCTAAAAACCCATAAAAAAAAACCCTTGCCCCCCATCCTGATCCCTTATGTGCTTGCTGGCCGACATTGATGCAACTCTGGCTCGATTAGTTTTGCGTATTTAATCATTATTTCCGGAAGTCGTGTCAGAGTGTATTGCTTCTAACCAGTCTCCCTCTTGGCTCGAATGGGATATCCAAAACAGTTAAACAAACACACACACACACACAAGCAACATGAACCCGACACTTAGCATGCACCATCGAATCGGCCTCCCTGCAGCCCAAAAGTCCAGTGACACCCGCTTTTGGGGTCCAATTTCGAGACTCAGTCTCTGAACTGAAGTTGAAGACTCAGAGACACACGCTGCCGCCACAGTCAGGCCGAGACGGGCGGCGTCGCGTTCGAATTCAACAATAGTCTAAGTTGGAAAAGGGTTTTTCCTGTGATTGAAAGGAGCTTCCTTTAATAAGGGTAGTGGAATCCCTTCTGTAAGCCAATAAAGCGGTTCTCAAGTCCTACACATCCCACAAAGTCCTACACAGCTGTAACTCGGGTGGTATTGAGCTCTCTTTCCTACTCAACTCTGAACCCGCAACACAGCCCATCAGTCGAACAACAACTCTAAACTCCTAACTATTAAACCTATATAAACCTCAAACCCACGACCCAAAACACAAACCATCCTAAACCCCAGACCCTAAACCCTAACCCCAACATGACACCAGGGAACCTCAAGACCACTATCACAGAAGGATCCCACCACCGAGGTGTACCGAGTCCGGAAACCGTTAATTGCGAGATCCCGACGTGTTTGCACAAAGAGGTTACTGTTAAGACTACTAGTCTTACTGCAATTACTGATATTAGCATTGTGATTATTCTTGTTTTACTATTATTACCATTCCTATTTCTACTAGAATTAGCACTGTCAGCTTTAAGATTATTAAGGATTGAAAGGCTTGAACGACCCAGGAAGCTGCCACCTGTAGCTGTGCGCAGCCGCGCGTGGTGCCGGAGTTTGTCTGCACGTCCGCATAGTCTGTTTTGATCTGAGGCGAGGCTGAGGGTTTTGGGTTTCGGGTTGAGGAGGCGAGGTGGGAGGATGTGGGGGCAGTCGAGGATTGAGGGGGCCTGGGCTTTGGGGGTTCTTAACTATTTGTATGTGTGTGTATATATATATATATGTAAGTACACACACATCTTTCTGACATATTCATGCACAAAAACATCATGTATCCTTAGCTCCTTAAGCAGACCCTGAAACTGAGCTTACACAGGAAGAACCATCCCTGGCAGTGCCCCCAGTCTCAAGTCCCGCAGCTGAACCACTTTGATGCCAGACCTGGCACGACCTGGTTTTGAGGGTTTAGGGCTTATGGTTTAGGCATTTAGGGGTTTAGGGTTTAGGTTTTGAAATTTTCGGCTTAGGGTACACAGACAGCCATCCAGACCAGGGCCTCTTTGATCGTCGCCAGGCTTTCTTTCTCACAGCGCGAGGCCTAAGCGTGCATGGCTAAGGAAGTTCATGTTTAACGGTGTTATCAATATCGTTGCTACTCATACTACACTTCGTAGTATTGCTGGTGTCTGAGTATTTTTTCTAAATTTGTGCCTATTGCGGTTCTTACCAGTATGGGTATCAGTATTACAGTATGTTGCTAGCGCTCCGGCCAGGGGTCTTACAATGAGTACCACGATTTGGGTGCGTGGGGTTCAGGGCTGTGGAGGAGGAGGAGGAGGAGGAGGAGGAGGAGGAGTTCTTGGGCTCGGGACCTTACAGAGCTTCAGGTTGCGGCGCTTCCCGATCGGCTTGTGTTTTAGGCTTAAAGGGAGTTAGGATTTGGGAGGACCCTTGAAGATATCGACCCTCTCAATAAGGTCCCTCATAAGCGAGCCAGAAGTAGTGGGCAAGAAGGCTCCCTTTTAAGAATTCTTCCCAATACTACGGCTGATGATGAAAATCCTGCATTCCCCATAATAAGGAATATACCATAATTCCCATATTTGAGGGACCTTAAGGTAATTATACCATAATTCCCATAGTTTAGGGTCCTTAAGGTAATGCAGGAGTTATATCATCAACCGTACCTTGGGTTAGCGCTGGTGTCAAGAGGTTTAGGGTTTCAGGCCTCGCAGCGCAGACTCGAGCAATTAAACCCCTAGACCCTCAAACCCTTAGACCCCAAACCCCTAGACCCGGAGACCCTAAACCCCTAAACCCCTAAACTTTAGGGGTTTAGGGGTTAGGGGTTTAGGGGTTTAGGGGCTTAGGGTTGGGGGCCCTAAACCCTAAGCCCGAAGAAATCGAGGAGTCGACCACGGAGGCCACGATGCCAATGGCCTCTCCGAGAGCTGTCACGCGAAGCTCCTGGTGGCTTAGGGGTTTAGGGGTTTAGGGTTTAGGGCGGGCCAGGGCGGGTTGATTCGGGTTTAGGAGGAACCTTTCAAGGGGCTTAGGTTTAGGGTTTAGGATTCAGGGTTTAGAGTAGTAGGGTTTAGGGTAGTAGGGTTTTGGGTGTAGGGCTTACGGTAGTAGGGTTTTGGGTTTAGGGTGTAGGGTTTAGGGGTTGGAGCCCCTGAGAGGAATCCGAATCTTAGACTCTGTCTTGGCATCGCGGTTGCGACCATGCTGTACCCATAGGCTCCTAAGTAGTTCCTTTTTATGGTTCATATTTAGAATCCTATAAGGTAATCCCAAAAAGGAACTACTTAGGAGCCTATGGGTAAAGTTGACTTTCCTGCAGGAAGGTTCGGGGTGGGCCAACATGGCAAGGCAAGGAATCTGCTGAAGGCAAAGTTAAGGGGTTCAGGGTCAATGATATTGCACATAGGTATTGGGCAGCCTTAGGACATACCTGAGACGCTTCGACATATCATCACCACCGATGTCTTTTCATCATGCGTTTAAGGAACCCCGAAACGATCGAACCCCGAAGCCCTAAAGCTTTAGTCCCTAAAAACTCTAACCTCGAATCCCTTAAGTTTCCAACCCTAAACCAAGCCCCAACCCCAAACCCATCGAGAGCCTCTCGGGGGGTAGCGGTTTCGAGGAGGGGGCAGTCTAGCATGCCGTCGGTTCCCTTGAGAGTCTGCATGTACCTATGTAGTGTATACTTCTACTTCGGCCCTACACCCTAAACCCTAAACCCCAAGGGGGGGGTTCCTATATAGGTACCTTTAAGGCCTACGGATATACTATATAGATACATGGAGCCGAAGGCTCGGAGAGTGCCTTTCTTTAAGGCCGTTAGGCTTCGGGGCTGCGGCTTTGCGGCTTGCCCATATAGGCCCCTAAGTAGCTCCTGTTTACGGCTTATATTTAGAATCCCATAAGGTAATCCCACAAAGAAGGAACTACTTAGGGGCCTATGGGTAAAGCTTAAATCGTGGGCCTGGGCTCGTGACCGCCACCAGACCCAAAAGCCTCCCAAATCCCAGAAACCCTGCACCCAATTAGGGTTGAGGGGTGCTCCGGGTTCCGGGTTTAACATAAGCCTAAACTCAAGAAAAAACCTAACCCACAAACACAACACCGCAAGCCAAAGGCGATCAAAAGCGCTCTCTGGAAGCCTAAACCTCGATGCAAGTCTACAACATCCCTCCTTCAACATGCGGCCACCTGCAAAACAGTGGGCAAGGGGCCTAAACCTTTTAATACTTTGCGTGTGCTGTGCCCGTTTTTTGGGTTTCTGCTGTTGCTGCCCTTCTTGTTCTCAACTCTTTGATTTCTGGCATGCTCAATCTTCTGATGCTACATCATCTATTCATTTATACAGCTGCCATCGATGTTGTCGCTGCTTCTGACGGTGTTGCTGGTAAGGATGATGACAGCTGCCGATTCTGCTGGTGCTGGTGCTGCTGCAGCTTCCTATTCTCATCACAAGCATGGCCACAGAATGCCAACCTCCCTGGGCCTCTCCAATTGACACCAACCTGCCTGTCAGTGCTGCGACAGCTGCTACTGCTGCCACTACCGGTGCTGCTCCTACTACGTATGCCTGCTGCTACTACTTACTACTACCACCATTAGCACCACTACCAAATAAGCTACTACCGGCACCACTACTGCTAGGACACCACACCCTGACCCTTAACCCCTGTCGGTGTTGGTGCCCACCCAACCGCAACCCTAACCCCAACTCGATCCCTCAACTCTTATAAACCATACATGAAAACAAATCGTACCCCGCAACACCGTCTTTGCCTGAACTGGCTTCTTGTCTTCCGTGCCGCGCAGAAAGGATGCTGCGGCACGCATGTAGAAGGCGACATTCCTAGGTAGGCCAGGCTTCGCGTTAGCTCTTGAGGGAGTTTTGGGCTTCAAGGGGAGCTTTAGGAGTTAAGGGAAGATTTGGTCTTGAAGGAGAGCTTGGGGTTTAGGGTTTAGGGCTTAGGGTTGGGAGTTATATGTTTAGGTCCGACGACACAGCCTGGCGCTGGCCCGAATTCCGAACAAGTGCCTCAAATAAGATGCTTAGTTGCTGAGTTTCCAAGACTTGCGATTGAAATCTGGTGGGTCCCCAATATAGTAATACAGTACGGCACCCTTTATAAAAAATGACCCTAAAAGGGACCCTACTTTAGAGAACTACCCATGCGCATAGATGTCTTAGGGGCAACCCCCCCCCCCTCTGATCCCGAGACTATCGTAGACTCCCCACGCGCCTGAACCAGGCGTGTGAACAGCTCGAAGGCACTATCGTTGCGAAAGGGGCCTTAACAACCACAAACACTATTGTGGGACTCCTGATTACAAGTGTTGTATGTCATCTAAACCCTAAACCCTAAAACCCTAAACCCTAAAACCCTAAACCCTAAACCCCTAAACCCTAAACCCTAAAACCCAGCCCCAGACCGGAAGTTACTTATGAAGGCCCCTTTCTTCTTGCAGCCAGGTCGCTTTTTGGCGGTGATCTTCATGAGGGCTACATCCTCATCTCCCATGATCGCCTGTGACGCTCGAAGCTCCCTTAAAGCTCGCCTTTCAGGGCTTCAGTGAGCTCATATAGGAGCCGGAATAGTTAGTAACAGTATGCTTTAGGGCTCTCCATTAAAAAAAATATATATATATATATACATACACACACACATACATACATACATACATACATACATACATACATACATACATACATATGTATATTTATCTATTATGTATTTTGATATAATTATTGTGTGTATGTATGTATATATATATATAGAAAGAGAGAGAGAGAGAGAGAGAGAGAGAGAGAGAGAGCCCACCACCCTATTCTATTTACTCAGGCCCCTCGAAACGACCCCTCCAGCTTCAATTCCAAAGCCCTGGAGCTTACGCCCGGACCCCGAAGATCACCACCCTGAAGGTTTTAGAGGGTTCAGGGGTCAGGTTTTGGGGGTTTAGCGTTTAGGATTCAGGGGTCAGGTTTTGGGGTTTAGGGTTTAGGGTTCAGGGGTCAGGTTTTAGGGTGTAGGGTACCTTACGACTTGCCGCCATGCTTGCGGAGTGTTGACTGAGAAAGGCTTTAGGGCTCAGGGCCCTAAACCCTCAACGCTGAACCCTAAACCCTAAACCTTCAACCCTAAACCCTCAACCCTAAACCCTCAACCCTGAACCCTAAAACCCCAACCCTAAAACCTCAACCCTAAATCCTGAACCCTCAACCACGAACCCTGAACCCTCAACCGGGCTCTCAAGGTGTTGGGATTGAGGCCTCGGGGGGTGGAGCTTTGGGTTCAGGCTCGGGGCTTTTAGGGTTTTGGGGTTTCGGGTTCAGGGTTTAGGGCGGTAGGATTTAGGGTTAGGGTTCAGGGTTTAGGGTTTCAGGTTCTCGGGGCGTTTTGCATAGCTTGGCTTTAGTATTTCGGGTTTCGGGTGTAGGAGACTGGCGGAATCGCATCGCTTCTTCTCAGGCTGGGTTAGCAGGGGCTTGGCGACATAAGAGGCTCTCACTGAATAGCGGCCAAAGGGAGCAGTGTCTTGAACATCCTCCTATTCCAGGACCCCCCGGGCTAGATCTTCAGGGAACAACGCATGCTACAGGAGTAAATGCAGTATACGTATTTTACCTCTGCTGACCCCAAGACCTGGAGGTGCTCGGCAACTTCCCATCCTCCGACGCTGAAATTCACATGCTAAAGATGCCCCTAAAATTCAAGGGGCTGTTCCTGATTCACTGACTTTAAAGGGGTGATGATACCCTTGTAGTCCCTGCAACTGTCAGATATTCCCGAAAGACAGGGAGTGCCTCGAACCCTAATGACAACCAATGGAAAAACAAACTCCACACCCGAAGCCGCAAACCTCAAAGACCCGAACCCCGAAAAACCCAAACCCTATAAACTCCATAAGCCCTATAAGCCCTATAAGCCCTATAAACCAAACCCTATAAACTCTACGGACCCTAAAGGCTGGTGCCTGTCGAGAGCAGACGCCCAGGTCACTCAAAGCACGCGTTCTCGCCAAGTTTGAGCCAAGCTATGCCGAACCGAAGCTGCACAGAATGGAAAACCCGTTTAGGCAAACACAACACATAACAGGACCCTCGTTTTGCATGTCAGCAATCCGAGTTGGGTCTTGAAGGAGCACTTATGGCGCGGGATCCGAAGTAGAAGGTCATGCAGCTACGTGTAAGGTTTCGGCTGCCTCCCACCCCTAAACCCTACGCATCCCTAAACTAAACCCTAAAAGCCATGGGCTTTAACCAGCTTGGTGGCTTGGGTCTGAAACCATCTTATGTGGGTTCTTCAATCACTCAATGATTTTAAGGGTTTTAGGGCTTAGGGCGTACCTCTACAGTAGCCCCCCTCCATCCCACCTCCACCCCAAAGAAACTGAGTGTCTAAGGAACTCGACAACGGACTCACGACCCAAAATCCGCTACCGACGATCTGCAGACAGGTCACCCTCAACTCGACAAAGCGAACCCAGAATCCGAACTCCTCGACCATAAGCACACATCCTGAATCCGGTGTTTCTAACCCGAGGCTGTCGGGTTTTTTAAGGGGGTTTAAAGGGTTTCTCAGACCTGAGCGCCCCGGCACCTCGCGACAGCCGGAGAGGGTGTGCACAGCCTGCGTGACCTGGGCTTTTGGGGGACCCTCATTTTCGGTTTAGGGCTTAAGGTTTAGGGGACCCCGCTAGTGGAGACTGATGGAGGGAACGCTGAACACCAAACCCCAACAGTGCTCGAAGTTGTGCATAACGGGGAACCGCTTGCGACTAAGCCAAGCGCCGCGTTGGTTCCATTCACGGCTGCGGCGCGCAAGACCTTGCAGCGGATGACCTAAACCCTTGCACCTAAACCCTAAACTTCTAAACCCTAAGCCTAAATAAGTTAACGGTTTGGTTTTTAGACCTCACTTAACGGGTCGGGTGGTTCGTACCCTGAGAATAGTGAGAATGTGATCCTTTTGAACAGACTCTTCTGCCACTTGCAAAAGATTGGTTTGTAGGCCCTAAACCCTAAACCCCTCAATCCCTAAACCCTACACTGCGACTTCCCAAAACTTCAATCCTAGTGAACCTGTAGAGTCCCAAAGCTTACATCCTAAGGAGTCCCGAGCATCTCCCTATGCTTCCAAGGACCCTATAGGCCCTAGACCCCTTAAGGACCCAATCATACTCATGACTCATAAGGTCCCTGCCTGCAAGGAGTCGTGCAAGCCAATGGCGCACTGAGAGGCCTCCCGAGAAAACAACTGCAGTGGGGTTGAGGGTTTGCGGCTTGGGGCCCTGATAATTTGTAATTCTGTTCCCGGCAGTCTCGGTATGAGATCATACATCCCAAAACCCTGTTGAACCTTTATAGCAACCCTTCTAGAAACCTTGATAGGGCCCTTCTAGTAACCCTTATAGCAACCCCTCTAGAAACCTTGCAAGGACCCCGATAGGAACCCGATTCTAATCATCATCGCCCCTACCCTCGGGGTCGAAGGCTTCGATCGAGCAGGTAGAATGGAGGGGGTAGGGGGCCTTAATACCTGTAATAAGGACCTAACAAGGGCTATGTATCTTCAGGAAGTGTAGTCCCCTACCCCCCTCCCCCCTCTACCCGCCCAGGGGCTCCCTGGCTTGAGGGCTTCTGTTTTGGGTCGTATGCTGCCCCGTGGTTGTGGAAACCTGGATCCCCATAACCCAGCCCTCCTGATGCCTGTCCACCCTCATCCGATCATCGTAAGCAGGTGGCTCCAATGTCTAGTCTCTACATGCCTATGTAGCTATATGTACTGTATATTGTATGTGTGAATTGTAATCCTAAGCTTGGCCCTACATCCTAGTAATTGGAGGCCGGAATGATGCGAGTCCAGCTACCCAAAGAACGCAATGCACCTTAATTAAGGAATATATACCTTAACTTCTAGGGGCCTTCCTATTATGATGTAAAGTATATTCCTGAATTAAGGGGTACTGGGCTCTCTGGGTATATGTGGTGACCCCTGTAGTAGGCTCATTTCTCTGGGTTTAGTGCTCCCCAAGATTAGGGGGTTAGCATTCCTGGCAAAAGGTTTGGGTTTAGGGTTTCGGGCTGAGGCTTTAGGGTCAGGGTCTGAGGGGTTGGGATGCCCTGAAAACCAGTATCTTTTCTGGTTCCTTGTTGGGCCTATATAAAAAATGATGATTTGTATTCCTTATTGGGTTCTTACTATAACAAAAATGTAAAATTGTATCCAACAAGGATCCAGTTTCGTTGTCGCAGTTTATGCTACCCTCAGCTCTCAACAGAAGTAGAGAATCCTCAGCATCCTTTCTCCGGAAAGCGTTTTCGGGCGGTGGTCCCACGATGGCATCAAGTGCTCGGGCGTTCCACCTGCACCGTCAGTCCAAACAATGTCGGTATGGGGTTCAGGCTTCAGAGTTTGGCATTTAGGATTTAAGCTTCTGGGTTGTTTCGTTGTTTGGTTAAGCCTCTTGTCGGTACTTCGACTGGACAACCCAAGCCAGTGGACCCAGGCCTAAGACCCCACAACTCTGCCAGAACTAAAGCCGAAGCAAAACAAAAAGGGAGCTTCTTCCTCCCCAGCTTTGAGGCAGTAGCCCCTGAAAGAGCACTAGAGTCACTAGAGCTGTATGGTGCGGAGGAAGGAAGAAAACTCAAAGGCGAGCCGTTTTCGCGCTTGGCAGTTTGGGGTTTATGTAAGCGTTGCCTGCTCTTTGGGTGGGTTTAGGGATATATGGTTTAGGTGTATGATTAGCGACATCAGATTAAATCGAAGGTTTAGGGGTACCCTAAACCCTAAATCCTAAACCCCTAAGGTCAGATTTATTCATAGGGGTTA